TTTGAACCCACCACCTCCGGTATATGGGGCTGGCGCCCTACTCCTTTGAGCCACAGGTGCCTCCCTACCTAAATATTTCTTTTATTACAGAAAATTTCTGGAGGATACCCCAGAAATGCTACACCTCTAGGGAGTAAGATCAGATACAGGGGGATCAAAATGCAAACTTACTTTTCATTTCACATCCTTGGGTACTATTTCGTTTGTTTGTTAACATGAATGTGTTATTTTTATAATGGAAAAATGAACTTAAGTTCAAATAAACAAAGATCCTGATAAGATGATTAGGGAAATCATTCATTCATTTATCTACTCATTCAACAATCAATGACTAAACATTACTGCACCAAAATAAAAGATGAACAAGACTTTGCCCCTAGCCAGTGGGGAAGACAGATAACTACACCCTGTGTGATAAGGGCCAGACAACTGGTGGGACTCCAGTGATCCCCTCCTACACTCACACCTGTGTCTAGTCTCTTCCCATAATTTTCAAGGGTTGGCCTGTGTGACCAATAGCATATGGCAGAATGATATTGTGTCAATTTTGACATTAGATTACAAAAGACTCCTGCAGCTTCCTATGTGCTCTCTCTCTCCCCATTTGTCCCCCTCTCGTTATGATCACTAATTCACTGTGAGAAAAGCTAGCTGCCATGTCATGAGGTGAGGATCTGATTCCAGCCAACAGCCCTGTACGTGAGCTTGGAAGTGGATTCTCCGGCCAGTCAAACCTTCAGGCGACTGCTGCACTGGGCAACATCTTAGCTATGACACTGAGAGATGCTGAGCTAGAAACTTACATCTAAGCTGTTCCTGAGACCCTCAGAAACCACGTGAGATGATAAATGTTTGCCATTTTAAGATGCTAAGTGTGTGGCTTGGCGCCTGTAGCAGAGTGGTTACAGCACCAGGCACATACTCGCAGGCTAACAAGTTTGAACCTGGCCTGGGTCAGCTAAACAACAATGATAACTGTAACCAAACTGTAACCAGAAAATAGCCGGGCATTGTGGTGGGTGCCTGTAGTCCCAGCTACTTGGGAGGCTGAGGCAAGAGAATTGCTTAAGCCCAAGAGTTTGAGGTTGCTGTGAGCTGTGATGCCACGGCACTCTACCAAAGGTGACATGGTGAGACTCTGTCTCAAAAAAACAAACAAAAAAAGGATGCTTAGTGTGGGAGTAATTTGTTACATGATGATAGGTAACTAGTATAGGGCATGATATGGACCCCAAGGAGGAGCTCTGATGGAGGGGGGACCCTGGAGCGATACTGGGCCTGAATCTTACACATTGTATGGAGTTAGCCAGGTCAGGAAGCAGGAAAGTGTAAGTGTAAAGCTCCTGCCACTTTGGGGCTCTGTATGGCTTGGGCTGGAAGGCCTGTGGGAAGGGGTTGGGGAAGCAGTGCAGAAGTTGGCAAGGGTTTCCGATTCCGTGTTGGGTTGCAGAATTTGATCTTTATACTGTGGCCAGAGGGGAATCCTTGAAAATTTTTAAGCAGAAGGATAACAAGTTTAGGTTCTCATGTTTAAAAGGTCACTCTGACCACAGTGTGGCAGAACAGCTGAAAGCTGCAGAAGAGACTGGAGCAGAGAGCTCATCTGGAGACTGCTGGAATGACCCACAAACTGTCTCTGCTGTACAGATAAGCCATGCCATGCACAGAGGGCAGAGTGACTGATCCAAGTCACCAGACAAAGTGAGTCAGAAAACAAAAAACAGTCACAGGAGCTGAAAAAGAACACAGGCCTCCCTCCACCTGGGCACTTGTTCCCAGGCACAGAGAAGACTCCCTCTTCAGGTTTCTTGTCGGAAAGCAGCCCGCTGAGGCCACAGGCCAAGTGAAGCAGTGAGAGGCTTGGAGTTTCTAGAGCCTCCTTAGGGGAAAGGAGGAGGGCCCATACGCTGGGATGCCACTTCAGGGCTGGGCTTAAGAGGCACAGAATGTCACAGTTGGAGAGACCCGTAGAAAAAGCCTACTCCCTAACTTTGAAGATGAGGAAACAGCCGGGTGAGATAGCATAGGCCTGTAAGCCCAGCTACTTAGGAGGCTGAGGTGAGAGGATAATTTGAGCTCAGGGGTTCGAGATCATCCTGAGCAAGAGGCCGGGTCTCTACTAAAAATAGAAAAACTAGCCAGGTGTTGTGGTACCTGTAGTCCCAGCTACTCAGGAGGGTGAAGCAGGAGGATTGCTTGAGCCCAGGAGTTTGAGGCTGCTATGAGCTAAGCTGAAGCCATGGCAATCCAGCCTGGGAGATGGAGTAAGACTGTGTCGCAAAAAAA